GTAGCTCCGACGATGATGCGCCATTGAGAGCCGGCGAACGCTGTGTCCGTTTTAATCAACTTTGCAAAAATATTCCAGCGCGTCGCCGCGACAGCCATTAGGCCGAGTCTGATTTCCCAGATGGTCGGTCTTGCGTACATCTCCCGTTACACGCTCTAATGTCCCTCTAATCAGCAACAGCTGACTCGGTCCGACGACGACACCGTCGGGGTTGCTCATCGCGACGGATCGTGCGACCGAAATTAATACTTTCACGTTCTCGTGATTCAAAGTGCCCGTCCCCGCGTGTGATCCTCGGCTTCGATCGCCGACTGCTCGCGCGTTCCCCCCCCCCCTCCCTCTCTTCCCTCTTCAGGAGAGGATCAATTTTCCACGGCTGCGCCGAGAAAAAGCCCGCGCAAATTCGATGTAAACATACATTTGCTTTTAATCTCCCAGAGCCACCGTGGTCATAACTGTCTCGTTAAATAGCCGAGGCGGCCGCGGAATGAGATAATAACGTTCCGCAAATGTAATTGTTCATTAAGTGAAACACGCCCTTCCCGCGCCCTCCGCGCGCACAAAAATCACTTGCGCGTTGCACAGCGTTGGCATGCGACATGCCGCTGAAAGTGCTGATGTCAAGAGAGACACGCTCGTCCGCGTCTCCCACGGACATTTTATTTGCCATCGCGCTCGTACATTAGCACTTTGCGCTGATCTGAAGCAATTTTTCGGCCGGCTCAGTGCAATTCATCTCGCGGAAAGGGTCAAAGCGGGGCGGGCCTTCCTCTCGACACGAGAAGGTCTTCTCGTCGTAATTAAATCCGGGCAAATTCGCGAAGCCGTAGGGTTTCTTCGTGTTTCGACGAGGTGCACAGAGAACGCGAGGGAGGGAGAGAGAGAGAGAGAGAGAGAGAGAGAGAGAGAGAGAGAGAGAGAGAGAGAGAGAGAGAGAGAGAGAGAGAGAGAGAGAGAGAGAGAGAGAGAGAGAGAGAGAGAGCGAGAGTAGAGCAGCGCATGTTAGGGAGAACAAAAAAGGAGAAACTTTGGCACCCTGCGGATGAAATTTTCTGGCATTTTGATCAAAGGGCTCGGCCGAAAACTGCAGCGCGGGCGGCCGTGCGCTCTCGAAATGTCGACTCTAACGAGACTCCCTCAGTCGTGCTACGTGTTTTGAATTCGAAGAAAAAACGATTGCGCGTCCTACCGTCGGCCAAGGCGCCGTGTAAACTCTCTAAGGCGGTTCAGAGCCGTAGAAAATTAGATTATCTCCCTCTCTGCGCCGCCTATATCTCGTGCGCGCAAGAGTAAAAAATACAGAGAGAGAGAGAGAGAGAGAGAGAGAAAGAGAAAGGGAAGAAGAGAAAGGAATATACCTATCTTGGAGTGAATTAAAGGCATATCTCGCTGACGAATATCGCCAGAGCGATAAATTGTCCTAGGGACGACGTTGCCGTAATAATTCTTAATAATAATTAAAACGCACGTTCAACGCGAATCGTGCAGCATGATACAATAAATTACCAACGACGTGTATTACATCGCAATGCTTCGTACACCGTATTACGATAATATTACGCAAAATGAAATAATATGCTACAATTTATTTGTTCAATTTGTGGAAACGTGAATCGCATAAAATAATGAGCTATTGTGCCCGATAAGCGAGTAAATACCGCTAACGAATAAATTGCGATGTGCCTGTCTGTTTTTCATACGACGACCATGCTGAAGAGTGCAGCAGTGAACATTTACAAAACGATCACTCAAAGGCACAGGAAGAGAGAAGGACAGAGAGAGAGAGAGAGAGAGAGGGAGAGAGGGTACAATGCTCTCACGCGACTCATCTCGCGCGATATCGCGGCGAAGCGGATTCGACGGTCTGACAAGGAGCGGCCGAAAAGCCGAAACGATCCTCGAGTACCGGCGAAATACCTTTACAGCCGGTTGAAACAACGAACGGTTCGGAGGGCGCGATCAGGGTCTGCTCGTGCTATCTCGTGAAATCGAGCCGCCGCTCCGTTGCGCGACCGCGTACATTCCTGCCAAGCCGAAATGGAAACTATTTCGCGCACAGCTCGAAGGAAGGAATACTCACTCTAGCACAATGGTCTATTTTTGCGGTCGTTGAAGAGACGGAAAATTCTCAGGCTGTTTTCGGGCTCCGCGCGCTTCGGTGAGCGGAGTGGAGGAGGGAGGGAGGGAGAGAGAGAGAGAGAGAGAGGCGCGACGAACGATATCTTGATAAATTATCGACAAACTGAATCCCAGTGCGGCGACGTTGGATCGTAAGCGAGGAAAGTGACTGAGGCGCGACGACAAGGGGCAAGGGGTGGGGAGGGAGAAAGGGGAAGAAAAAAATTACTGTTTTATTCAATATCGCACAAGAAGTAAGGCGTGTCGCTGGCGACGCGCGAAGAAAGTGCGTCGGCGACGACGCTTATCGGGCCGAGCGCCGACGACGTTCTCGGGCGACGTCGCGCGATCGGAAAACGTTTGCTTACGCGAACGGCGGCGGGTATCACTTTAATGGCATTCTTAATAGCCGTAGGAGAGTTCCGAAGTTGATGCAATCTCAATTTCCCGGTTTCCTGCGCCTGATATATCACTGATTTTCCAGCTCTGCGTTATCGTACGGAAAGTTCGTCGAGTCACGCGGCGCTGCCGGAGCGATCGGTCTCGCCTTGATAACCGCCTTCTTGCGGTCCCGCGGACTGCTCGGCGCGCGTGTCGCCGTGGGCCCAAAGTGGACCGCTGATTTTGTGCAGGATGCTCCATGATTGACGGAGGCTCGAGACGCGCCGTGCGAAATCGCGACTCGCCGCAGTCTCGCGAGCAGTTTCAATATTCCGCGACTAAGCGTGAAATATCTCAGCAGAATTCATCGTCGAATAGGGCGATCTGTTACCTCATTATTTATTCGTCGCAACAATCATCGATTTCGCATTAAAGCGGTTTATTCTCCACGGATAAGTCCCGTCTCGAAACTTCTCGATTCTTCAGTAAAATTGATCTGAAGTGAAAATATTCGTGCACCGAAAATAATCGGACGAATTTAGGTCGTCTCGCACGGAGGTCAGTGGACTTTGTATCAGAGAGCACTGCGCCATCGTGCCCTCGATCGGTCGATGATCGGTCGACGATCGGTCGACGATCGGTCCCGTTGGCCGCTCAAGATCGCCCGTGCGGGACTTAACCGCGTTCTTGGCGCAATTTTCCGACTAACGGCACAATACGGTCTATCCGTGTATGAAGACTGGCGGGTAATTGTATCGGCGCTTGGTTGTACCGAGAGGGACAGAAGAGCGCAGTGAGCAGGACCGCGAACGCACTTTGGAGACGCGTCGCTCTTCGCTAAATTAATTTACCGGCGCGTCGCCCAATTCGGACCCGCGTGTCTCTCTCGCGAAGGTGCAAAAGTTGGACACGTGCTGCGGCTACACACACGCATGCGGGCGATCCTCGTCTTTCCGTCCCTTTGTCGGGGCGTGCGATAATTCGACTATCTGTCACGTTGAAATATGAAAGCATGCCGGCGCGGCGTTATCGCGACGGAATCGTTACTTAATGGAATCGTTCATAATAACTACATTGAGTTCTCGCCGAGGCGTCTATTTAACGGGTCGAGCTCCCGCGAGAGCTCGACACCCAGCCGACTTGGCGCGACTTCGAGACAATGCGGGGGATCGGGCGAGTTTCAATGAAGTCCATGGATTTTCCCCCGATTTTTCATGTATCCCGTGTGCACGAAACGCGCACGCGTACACACATTTCCGCTTCGCTACGCGAAAACTACATCGCTCGTTACGCCTGCCGATACGTTTGTTCCGTGCGCAACGTTGATCGCCCGCAGGCTGCGATGTAGTAGCGGGGTCGCATCCAACTCCCCGACGGGACAACTGATGCGTTTCCAATACGCTTGCCTAACAGCGGTCTTCAGCGCCGCCGCCGGAACGAACTCGCGGATCGCGAAGCGTGGCAGGTAGCGATTATGTTTTTTTCTCCTTTTCTTGGCGAAGAAGTTCCGCCGAGAGATTATCCTTCCGTGATATCGGCGAATCTTCTCTCTCTCTCTCTCTCTCTCTCTCTCTCTCTCTCTCTCTCTCTCTCTCTCTCTCTCTCTCTCTCTCTCTCTCTCTCTCTCTCTCTCTCTCTCTCTCTCTCTCTCTCTTTCTTTCTCTTTCAAGCTGCATCTCACTACTTGGAAAAATGAGAGATTAATCAGAATACACTTTTTATTTTCTCTTGTTTACTCTGAGGCGACTTGCTTATTGCCGCATCTATCGCCGCGATAATTGCGAACCCTTGAAAAAGTTGCGCGGTCACATCTTATCCGCCGCGAACGCACACGCGAAAACGCGTGAGTGTATATGCACATGTCTCATGGCGATATTACGTATCGCGCATACGTGACGGCGTAATAACGTAATATTATCTTATTTCGCGCGGGAAAAATAAATTGAGACGAGATATCGCGTAGAATGCCACGTAGAAAATTAGCACTCCGACCTCGCAAACGCAAAAAGCGGAACTCCGTAAAGAGCGTCTTTCCAGGGCGTTCCTCTCTCTCTCCCTCTCTCTCTCTCTCTCCCTCTCTCTCTCCCTCTCCCTCTCTCTCTCCCTCTCCCTCTCTCTCTCTCTCTCTCTCTCTCTCTCTCGCTCTCGCTCTCGCCCTCGCTCACTCGCTCGCTCGCGCGCTGTAACACGCTCTTTGTAATCCAGTTAACGAATAATTGAGGAAACTCTGTTTAGTAAAGGACGCAGCGGGTCCCGGTCGTCGGGGAAAACACGCTCTCGCACCCAGCGAACGAAGAAGAAAATTACTGGGATCAGAGGAACCGGTTGTCCGCACGCGCATGTGTTGCTAAAAAAAGAGAGGCGCTTCATCGTCGACGTCGCGGTCGGAGCGCGCGTAATAAAACGTGCTTACGCAGCGGGGCGCGGGCATGACGAATTTTTCGATGCGCGCGTATGTGTGTGTGTGTGTGTGTGTATGTATGTATGTATGTATGTGTTACCTTGTAGGTGCCGAGGTTCTCGATGACACAGGGCAGGCTCACGTCCCTTCCCAGCGCCACCGTGACGTTCGGTATCGGCTCGGCGAATATCGGCGGATCCGAGAGCGCTGCAACATGTAATCAGAAGAGAAAGACGAGATCAGACACGTTGAATGAAGCGCGCGCGTCCGACGCGCCTCGCCTTCGCGCCCGCGAGGCTCTCGCCGCCGCTTTCCGTTCCGCTTCAACCGCCTGGTGTGTTCCATCGTTCTACCGTTGCGCGTTCACGTCCACGATGACCGCCGATGCTACCGGCATCCACGGATGGATGCGGCCGATCCGAATCGCGCAATTAACTTCGACCGATGTTTATGGAAGCGTACTTATATAGTAGTTACATTCGGCGGGCACGCGTAATTCCTATCGTCGACGTCAATATGCTTCTCTGTCTCTCCCTCTCTCTCTCTCTCTCTCTCACTCTCTCTCTCTCTCTCTCTCTCTCTCTCTCTCTTGCTCTCTTGCTCTCCGTTATTAATTCCAAATAAATTTAGTGCAAAATTCGATGTCGCACGCGCCCGCGCTCTCGCGCGCATGCGGGCGGATGCGAATCCGCGGAATAATGCGGAGGCGCGAAATAATTAACGACTGTCGTGCCGGCGTAAACAGTAACGCGATTAACTCGTCGATATTTTAGGACGTAAAAACGCGAATTGACGGCGTCGATAAAACGATAATCACCGGGCTGATCAATTCCTGGAGGGCCACGGCGAGAGAAAGAGAGAGATGGCGGAGGCAATTGGCCCGCGCGCGCGCGCGCGGTTGCGTCGGCTCGTGAATTTTTCATCTTCGAACGACCGGACTGTCCCGCCGAATTGCGGTCATCGATAAACGAGAGCCGTTCGAGGATAAATGAGCGAAAAACGATTATTCGGCCGAGAGCCAGGGGGGCGCGGGGGCACGCTCGCCCGCCATTGTGTCACGTCGCGTCCGAAATCCGTAAAATCGCGTCGATAGGCCGCGCGGCGCCGATTTTTCTTTCCGCTCTTCGAGCCCACTTGGCGCGCTGGCCGCGAAGCGGCAAAATGCAGCGCGTTTTTAGGCGCTCCGCGCGCGAGTCGCGCCGCTCGAATAATGCCCGCGTTATTCGGCGGAAACGCTGCGTTGCCCTACAATCGCGCGTTCGCGCCCCAGATCGCTTTAATTACCCGGGCAGAGCCCGGAGCCGCAACGCGACGCCACTCTTCTTCATCCCATCGACGTTTGTTTATTGAATCTCGCTCTCACAGAGAGAATGCGTATTAGCATCGGCTGCTAGTAATGGGCGGCTTAATTATTTGTGCTCGGACAAATCGATTTCACGGCAGGCCGGGAGGGAGGGAACGCAGAAGATAGGTCAGCGGCGCGGCGGGGGGGGGGGGGGGGACCGGTCATTTTTTATAACGCGACTGTAATCCCGCTAATGAATCGGGTTTCGCAATTATGTAAATGTACACGCGCGAACAAACGAATAGCCCGAATCGATCGGCGAACGAAGACAGAGCGTGACACGTGTACGGGAATGCATATTGCGTGTTGTTATGTTAAAATTGCGCTCGCACGTTCGGCCTGCCGCGTTTACACACACACACACACACACACACACACACACAAACACACATACATACATACAGCGGGCACTCGCATAGCGCCGTTAAAAAAGTGCACTCGCGCCGTCGCGGTCGCCGTCGCCGCGAACGCTCGACTGTTACACTATCGTGCTCGCTCGCGGGACGAGAAAAATAGTTCGCGATTTATGTTATCGTAGCAACGAATGAAACGGTTATTTTATATATCGCGTTAATAATTCCGGCTGGAAATATCCCGCTAAAATTCGCGTAATATTCGGGAAATATTTCGGAACGCTTAGTCCATGCTCGTTTCCGCGGCCGCTCAAGTTTTTACGCACGCATGTACGCGCGTGCGCACTTGGAACGATCAATTACCATGCAAACGGCAGCATCGCGGAATTCGAGTTTAAATTTATATAGCTGCGATACTTTCCGTTTAAAGCCGAACAAAAACACATATATCGTTATAGCCGCGGGGCTACTCCTCCCTTCGCCCGCCTGTCCCCCTCTTTCTCTCTCTCTCTCTCTCTCTCTCTCCCTCTCTTCTCTCTGCCAGCAGATAGCACGCGTCCGTAGAATATTAAATGCACAATATTTTTATCATTATTATTCCCGTTGTGCGGGCGCGAGTGTACGCCGGAATATTCAAGCGATGTCACGGGGGATGATAATCCTTCATATACCTTCGCACTTTGCGACCGCAAAAACTGCCAGGTATTTGTATTTAAACAACACGTCGGGAGAAAAAGAGAGAGGAGAGAGAGAGAGAGAGAGACAGAGAGACAGAGAGAGAGAGAGAGAGGGAGAAAACGTGTGTTGTTAAAAATTTGGACATCGCACCGAAATCATCCCGCCGGCACGCAGCGCGCGCGCGCGCGACTCGCGAAAAGTGCAGCGCTCGCTGTGTGACGAACGTCGCTCTCCTGACTCTCTTTTTAACGAACGCGTCATCGTTCGGACGTTTCGGCCTCTGCCGAAGATAACGGCCGCGCCGTTCAGCGCTAATCACGCGCGGCCGAAATGCCAGCGGCACGCGAGACTCGCAGTCGCGTGAAAAATGCGAAGGTATGCAAATAACGTTTGCGTCCCCACGATGCGCGACAGTAACGATCGTTTCTCCTTTCTTCCGCGTGATTCGCCGAGAGGACGCCTCGGATTTCATTAGCCGCTTTCTGCACGCGTGTGTGCGTCTGTATGCGTGAAGGGATGATGCGGGGCACGTCGCGCTGTCTCCGGACGAGCCGCGCGACGTGCGAGGGAAAATAACAGCCGGAGAAGCAAAAGATATCATTCCCGCGCGGTGAAAGGATCACCCACGACATCCGCTCGAGCACGGCGAGGATCGAAGGTGCTGAAAAGGAGAGCTAGGCCGGTGCTAGCATCGTAGATCATGTGTGTGTTGGTGTGTGTGTGTGTGTGTGTGTGTGTGTGAGTGTGTTGGCGTCGAGCGACGAACGACGGCTCCGAAGAAGTTTCGGAGGTGGTGCACTCAAGAGTGAAGTAAGAGGGCAGTTGGCTGGCTGCTCGAGCGGAAGAGGGCAGCCGTCAATTCCGGCGGAAGACTTCGCGCTGACCAGAGGCACACACATTCTCGCGATCGCTCACACAGGCGCGACGCTCCGCGGCGGAAACTCCGTCTCCGAGCGGGCCGAGAGATCGCGCCCTGATGACCACCGCGGATGTCGCCTGACCCGGCGAACGAGTCGCGGCGACGAACGCGTTCGATTCGCCTGCAACTCCTGCGAGTGCGAAATAATACCCTGCCTCCTCGCGCGCGGACTGTTTGTTCGCCCGTCACGAGCGCTTGTGTCCGCGCGACGCAGCTCGAGGTCGCTTTGCGGAACCTGAGGAAAGCACGGCAATTTGGCGTTCTTAGCCTGGCAATCTTCTCAAAATTCGCCCGCAGCATTTTGAGTATTTTCATCCTCAGCGCGCGAGAGGAGCGAGCTGATTGTTGCGCGGGGTCAGTTTCGCCAAGAGTTCCTCCTTGCAGATACGATCGGAAGAACGAGGGACAAGAACACTTTCCACGAGTCGTATGATTTACAGCAACCTCGAGCGTCGCGTCTTCGTGCGTCCAAGACACTTGCGTTCGGTGTCCAGCAAGTTTGCTTGATCCCTTAACCCCGAAGAACAGGACGAGGAAGAGATACGAGCGCAGTGACGAAGCACGACCGACGTGCTCCGTCAGTCGGCAAATCCCCGGGCGTTTAATGAGAGGGAAACGTCCCGGGGACTTGCCGAGTCCACGTGACGATGTAATACTTATCGACGCGCGATCCGTCAGCGTAATGACGAGCGTCCGACTCTGAGCTTGCGATGAATCGACAAGAAGAGAAACGCAATACAACGGTCGCTGCTGACGCGGGCTGATGTCGAGCCGCTCGCTGCGGGGAAGGACGAGCCCCGAGGATCACGAGCGGGGCGCCGGGGGGGGGTGTTTTCGCAAGCTCCACGTGTCGCCGGCAACGCGAGGCACGTCGAGCGACTTCATGGTCCCGACGCGACGGCGAGTCCCCGGGGGATCTTCCGGACGGCGGGTGTTCGCGACAAGGTCGCACGGTCAGATTTCGGATTATTATTAAGTCGGAGGAGACAAATTGGAGAGCGTGCGGCGCTTCGTCGGCCGTCTCTCGAGCGCGCCCGTGTCGAACGGGGAAATTAATCAGGACTGTAGCGAGTCGACGATTGAGAGAGAGGCTTCCGTTCCGGCCGGTTGGAAGTGACGATGCGCACGAGCGAGCGAGCGAGCGAGCGATCTTCTTCGACGGCTTCCGCGCCGGGAGTAAGATCGGACGTTCTATTTGTAATCCGTTGCATATTTAACGAGAGGGCCTGGCGCTCGCCGCCATCTCTCTCGGACGCGACAAATGGCTGCTATAGCGGTCTCGTAACTCATAAATATGTATAAATTCGGTTTTTAAATCATAAATGTATTGCCGCTCTTAATGCGCACGGCCGGCGTAAAAATTCCGCGACGGCAAGTTAGTTTGACCCCGATAAGCGGCGTTATAATGTATGTTAACGAGCCGACGAGAGCGCCGTTAAATGCTTTTCTTCCTCGCTTCATCTCCTTTTTCATCGCCCCCTCGCCTCTTGCGTTGCGACAAAGAGAAAGGCCGTGTGCGCGCGGACGATTGTGCATCGCAGATATATCAATCCGCCCGGTCGAATGTTACTCCGCCGTGACAATCTTCATTGCGCGCCGAGCGCGCGATTCGACTCGCGTGGACGCGCGTGGTCCCCACTTTGGCGAGCTTTCCAAAGCGGAAAACTCGCGGCGTCCGGCGCGTGTAACGGCCTGCCCCGTCGCCCTTCAGCCGACACGTCCGTCGCAGCCCTCGACCGAAGTTGTAAAAGTCTCCGGAGTTCACGACTGAGTGACATGAGAACCGTGCTTGCACAGCGCGAAGCCGCGCGCGCGTCTCGCTTTTTCTCGGGCACGGTCTCTTAATCGCCGCCGCGCCGTAATACTCCGCCGGCACGGAGAGAGCACTTACCTGCGCACCGCATAAATTTCAATCCCGCTAATGACACGTCGATAAAATCTGCAGGCCGCGCGCGCGGCCGAAATCGATGTCGCGCGGGATGACCCGCTCCGTCTCGCAGGGCGAAGCAACGCGCGACGGGGCTGAGTGTGACTCTCTCGGCGAGGCGCGTCTGTCCGCCGACGACGACGTGTTTCTCCGGAGCGAAATACAAAATATTTAGGTACGCACGTGTGCGAATGGGGACGCGACGCTCCGCCGCGCGGCGCGTAGCGCTACAGAAATCGCGTCGCGGATAAGATTCGATTTTTAGATGAGATCGTAACGGTACGCGTGAAAAATGAGCTACGCTCGCGTTGTTTACGCGTATTCGATTCGTGCGCCGCGTCCGTACGTTACGCGGGGAGGACCCGAATATCGATTCGATCAAGTCGAGTAATTAATCAATCTGCTAGAGTAATTCGACTCGGGAACGCACGCGTGAGAAGCCCTCCCGTCCCGGCGGGTGAAAGAAAAATACGCGGTGCGTTCTGAAAGGAGGTAATTTCGCGTGAAGACAATACATCGAGACTGTTGCGCGCAGATACCGTTGATTTCTCGACTCTCTCCACGCGCGATCGATCCTCGCGGAAACGAAATAGAGGAGACGTCCCCTCCCCGGGATCCTCTGCTCTCCGAAAGAGAAAACATTTATTTCACGATTTTTAATCATGAAATGGAGAAAAGCAGATGAAGATAAGGCAAGTGGGAACGAATCTCTCGCGTTTTCCTTTTATTTCCCTCCTCCTCTCTATCTGTCTCTCTCTCTCTCTCTCTCTCTCCCTTTTCTTTTTTCCTCTTTTTCTTTTTCTTACGCGGAACTCATGAATATTACTGGGACACTGCGTCAGTCGGCGTTACGACGGTCATTGTACTAGATACAACAATACGGCGAATGCACCGTTATTACGCAACGCTCCGCACGCGAGGCGCGCCAGGCGGGCCTTGCTTGCATTTTAGCGATAAAGACGATATTATATAGGTCAAAGTCATCAATTATTCAAGAAGCCATGATTATAATCGACTGACTATTCCCTTTCCTCCCCCCCCCCTCTCTCTCTCTCTCTCTCTCTCGGCGAAGCGTGAAAATCGATCACGTTGCTCCCATGAGTTTACGAAAAAGAAAGAGGAAATATTCATCATGAGCGCACGCATTGCAAATTTCCTCCGCGTTGCGCGAACGCCGTGCATAATACGCATCATATTTAATATGCTTCCGATATGTAAATCCTCCGATAATAGCGCCTTCCTTGCGTGTTCGGAGAGAGAGAGAGAGAGAGAGGGGGGGAGGAGGGGAGGATTACACGGATAACATACACGCATAACGCGTATAAAGGATGCCTCATGGACACGCGTGCGATATTGTAATAACGCATCCGCGTGAAAGTTGATCGAAGCGTCGATAGAAAATCCGAGGACCGGTCGGCAAAGTTTCTGAGCGTTATGAGCGATTCGAGTGGACCAATGCCATCGCGTGGAACTCGCGCGCTCAGACTCGTAATCGCGTCTGCGGGCGCATGGCAATCCCGTTATCGATTTTCGATGTACAGTTCACATCTATTTTCGCGACTCGTCTAATATTGATTTCCCGAAGACGAGGGCGGTAACCATCGCATGACCTCGAAATCCCCTTATCCCGGACTTTTTCACGCCTGGACTGTCGCTTGACGGATTTCTCCGGTTTGCGCTTCTGACGCAAGCGCGCTAGTTATCAACTGTTGCGACGGGGGCATTTGTATTCATGTTCTCTCGTATACTTTCAACGACGCTAATAGATAAGATCTCATTTGTCGCTATGTTCGTCGCTCTCGACTCTTTCCAACAAGTTACTTCCCTCATCGATGTACTCACGACAGCCCGAAAATATTTCGTCCTCTCAGCAATCCTTTAAAAAAAACCTTCTCTCTTTCAATTTTTTCTCCTTTTTCCTTTAAGCTTTTTCTCTTCTTTTGTACTTTTCATCATCGCTTCTCTCTCTCTCTCTCTCTCTCTTGCTCTCGCTCTTTCTCTCCCTCGCTTTCTCCTAGCCTCTCTTTTCCCCCTCCAACTATCTTTCAAAAAAAAAAAAAAGAAAAAAAGAAAAAAAAGAGAGAAAAAAAAGAAAGAAAGAATGAAAAACTCTTGGTGTTTTCGTCGTAGCGCGGAGGAGGAAATCTCGCGTTCTCAAGGACTGAGATGGAAACGCGCCCGCCTCGCCCAGCTCGCGCGGATCGATTGCACATCGAAAAAGAAAACATGCGCACAATCGCGCATAATCCGTTCTTTATATAACACGAGGACATTACACGGCGATGCGTTTTACCATTTCGATTTACCGCAGCCGCTAGTACGCAAACTCGTCATCGCACATACAGGCACCATTTGCAAATGTAATAACAGCGGGATCTTCTCCATGTCGAAACATGAGAATTATCGTCGTTGTTTATCAGCGCGCACGGACGCGCAGGGTGGAATCATAAAACACGCGAGCACGGCACAACGATAGCGGTCGGTGGCGCATTTTAATTAGGCGCTCGCGCGTGTCATACCCTCGCACACACACACACACACACACACACACATGTCCCCTATTCGCGCAATTTTCATCGGAGCGTCGGATTCCGCGAAGCGTTTCACTTTTCCGTCACTGAGGCTAGCCTGGGTTAGCTAGATAAGTTAGAGAGTCTACGCTCTGCTTAACCAGTCGGGCTGGAACTTCTGGAGCGGCAAGGCGTGTGTCGCAGCGCGCGTTGACCGTCGCGACTATGTGTCTGGCGAAGCTCGAAACGTCACTCGGCGCGCGCGTGTGGTGCAATCGATGGAAACACTTGATTCTGTGACGACGCGCGAGCCAATCGCAGAAGAAGCGTATTTTCCGCAGTGTGCCGGGGCCACGTCGAGAGGAGCGCGCGCGGTGGTACACGAACGTACGGCGAGTTGAATAGTCCCGCTGGCCCCTCGCAGCTCGCACGACAATCGCGAGACAATCGTGCGAGACGTCGGGGTCGATTGTCGCGATTCGCGATTGTCGCGAGAAGCTGACAGAGAAAGGGGAAGAAAGAGAGCGGCGGACGGGGAGACGGAGGGAGACGAGATGATCGCGCTCGCGTCGTGCCAGGCACGAGCCGGATAATTAAAGTGTTATTGTCGGCCGGAAAAAAAGTATTCGTATATGCAAATATGCAAATATGCGGTGCGCAGTAGAACGAATCGCACGCAGCCGCGAGATTGCGCAACGCACCGCCGATACGATAATCTTCGATCGAGTTCGCGCGGCGCGCACGGCGCCGTTCTCGATCGCGCTCACTCGCGTCCCTCCGCCGCGCGGGACCGACACCGCGCATGCGCGAGCGCGCGAAGCGGTCGGCTACAAAGGGAAACGCGCACAATGATGTTTATTAGTACGTCGATGAGTTGCCCGTACGAAAGCCGCGTGCGGTCACGGTGTAATCTATCAATGTTTAATGTCGCCGGGCACACACACATATACACACACACACACACGCGCGCGCGCGCGCGCACACGCTCATGGCCTTCGCTACAAAAGCTGTGACCTCCTCAAATGCACCGGCACGGAACCTCTCGCATTCGTGTGACGTAAGGGCTATGAAAAAGTATCGGCGATGCTTGCTCATCTCTCGCCGTACGACGTTTTATCGATCGATGAAGTCATGGTTAAATGCTGGAGGGGCGGACTGTATTCATAATACGTGCGCACGGGGCACGAAGGACGAAGTCATCCGGAGGATGCGCGTGCTACCGAGACTCGCACGTGTCCTCTACCTGTACGCACCTGTGCGGTTCCGGACGAACGCGCAGCGCGCGAACACGAGCAACAACGTCGCAAATATTGACCCGCGAATGGCAAGATGGAGTCGCGCTCCTGCGGCTGATTAACGCGCCGATGTCCAGTCTAATCTAATCGTCCGCGGATGTGAGCAAATTTCGATAAGGTTTACAACGGCGGCGACTCGGCGCGAGTTAACTGTACTCGCCTGCGCTCGCGTTCATGCGAACACAGGCTTTATTGGCAGACATTATTATCTCGCCGATAGGAATATCAAGCCTGTTACCGAACACCGTTACAGTTCCACTTCGCGCGAACAACGAATCGCAGTCCGGTCTTGCTGCGAGCGTAACGGTCGTCACACACGATCCGCTCGAATCCTGGAACTGTATCGTGTTTTATGTCTTCTTTTCTCTTTTTTTTTTCTTTTTTTTTCCGTGGCGTACATCGGTGCGGTGCGGAAAATGTTGCAGCTGCGATTACAACGTGGAAGTAGTGAGTATTCTGCGGAAGGAGGAATCAATCATTAATTAAAAAATGTGTGCGCGCGCGCGTTCATCGGAAAATATTATCCGACGGGTTTTATCTCTCTACTTGAAAATTATTCTACTTGAAAATATGTCCAGCGGAAAAAAATGTTCTCTAATTGAAAAATATTATCCGGTAGACTCTCTCTGCTCATTTCTCGGCATCGACCGATCCGCCGAATGATGATAAAATTATTATTATTATTATTATTATTATTATTATTATTATTATTATATGATAATTGCGTCGTGCAACAATTCGTACGTACGGCACACACGAGGCCAACGAGTTCCCTCCGTAAGAGTCGTAATTGTCACGCTTTTTAAGCTGGCGTGATACACGCCCATTTAATACGTAATGATATGTAATAAACGCCAAGAATGCGCACCTGGGAGTTAAAAACGGAAAACTTCGCCGCGTATATCACCGCGCGATCACCACTCGTTTAACGTCACTTCTGACCTCGGTCTCTAATTTATTCGTAATCGTAACGTAACCAAACGTCGCACTCGTCCAGTCATCAATCACAATTCCGTCAGAGATAAGCGGGGAGGAGTAATCGTAGTAGAAAATTAATCGTTAACTATTTCATTCCCCGCGCTCGCTCTACTAACCGCCTTCCGGCTTGATGCAATCATTCATTATTGCCAATTGGGATTAAATGGTTCAGTTACATATTCGTCTACAATATTAACTCACTCCTGAATATTGAATGCTATCGATGCACGTCGCGTAAATACACACGCGCGCGCGATCCTACCATATTTATACAAAGTAAATCTATTAAACAAGGATAAAATAACAAATGTGTTGGACCCCCTCGTCTGCCCTCTCCGCCCCCTCGCCTGTCCGCCGTCCCTGACAAAACAACAGAAGCAGCTGACACTTGACGTATCGTGTGTCATACAACGTCATTAATCCCGCGGTCGCAACCTGTTTTTACGTCTGCCTCTCTCTCTCTCTCTCTCTCTCTCTCTCTCTCGCTCGCTCGCTCGCTCGCAAAGCAAAGCAAAGCAAAGTTACAATTTACTTTAATTCCGCACGTCGCTCTCCCTCTCCTCCTCCTGTTTCGACGATCGCCTAATTAAAGCGCCGGCGAGAACTTATATTATTAAAGCTTAATTAACGGTATTCGACGATTTGTTCGTTTGTCTTGTACTTTTTATCGCCCGCGCGCAGTTTGCAGTGTTAATTAACCGTCCCGTCCGACTCGTGCCCGCTTAGCCGAAACGTAACCGGCGCCGGCGCGACTGCCGCGACGTGAGATTAAAGCGCGAGCTCCAGATAGGCGAGAGTAGACAAAAAGACCGCCTATGGTCGTGTTCGATATCATGAGAGAACAATTTTTAATCAAACGAAACCTCGCGTTCCCTCCCGTCCCGAGCTCGTCCCCCCCCCCCTCCGCCCTCACCTCCACCGCCATCACCACCCACCGTCCTCGTCCTCGCCACGCTACGATATACTGAGCAAAGTGCACGCGCACGGCGAACATCCATCGTCGAAAGGACATCAAACGTTTATGATCTTTTGAAGGAACTCGATTATTATCCGTCCGTGAAAATGTCTGCTGTTTCACGCGGACCGCCTTTCATCGCGCAAGTAGCGGCGAATTAATCGCCCGTCCTCCGGCATCTGGCGCTGCAGGGCGGGCGGGCGGGAGGGAGGGAGGGAGGGAGATGAAGGAGCGGGCTGCATCTCTCTCTCTCTCTCTCTCTTTCGTATCTGCTCGGAGCTTGAAACGCACGCTTACGGCTTGCATTTCAGATTTCAGTCCATTGCTCGCGTTGCAACCGCGCGCTCGCGAGAGACAGGAGGAGGGAGAAGGAGGCGTTTCATAGGTTATAGGATTATTAACGCAATTATCTCGTGCTGTTAACGACGTAGGAAACTATCGTTCGTTATAAACCGTTGGCGCGCTACATCATGACGTAAGAATGCCAGGGGAAACTTTATTCGCGTGCGCGCATACACACACCTCCCCCCCCCCTCTCTCTCTCTCTCTCTCTCTCTCTCTCTCTCTCTCTCTCTCTCTCTCTCTCAATCTCAGATTTGTCGTGTTTTCAGCAATAAACGGCTCCTGTTTCTTTCTCTCCGTATAGATACCGCGCGAGGACGAACGAGGGACTCCGCTCGGCTCCCGACCGGCGTTAATTAATTAGAAACGAGCGTGTGCAATTAGTGTGCTCTCGCGTGGAAGATGCACAAAGCGATCAAAGTTCCAAGTGGAAAATCCGAAAGCCGGCCTCTCCAGGCAGAGAGACTCCACGGTTGCGGTACGTTTCTCAACGAGCGAGTTTGAGCGGAGAACCGGCGTCGCGGGCACCGGATCAAACACGACCAACGATGACCGAGCGATGTTCTCTCTCGTTTCCATTCTCTTCACCGTAAAGATACGAGAGTAACGTCGAATACGTCGGTGGTTAACTCGCGAGACCTCCCCCGTGTTCGTTATTCGCGCTACGTCTCGCGACTAGCGAAACCGGCTAAATCGGAGATTAGTTGGCCGAGTCGTCGCTCGCAGTGCGATCGGTGGCGCCACTTGCAGCGGAACGTCGTAATTGCGAACGTGAGATCGAACGTTAAGCGCGGCGGGACTATCTCGCGACTGACGCGCGCCCCGCGCGTACCGAGAGATCGTAACGAGAGCGATATCTCGCTCCGTGTCTTTTTGAGCCGGAACTAAATCTAAGTTGCTGAACGAGCAAGTTTTCCTTTCGCGCGACTTGTCTTCCTCCGCACGGAGAGAGAGAGAGAGAGAGAGAGAGAGAGAGAGAGAGAGAGAGAGAGAGAGAAAGAGAGAGAAAGAGAGAGAGTACGTCTTGCCGCGGCGGTGGCGGCGGGGGCGGGGGCGGGGGACGCACACGCGCGCGATATCTCTCCAAACCGCATTTGTGTGCGCTCTGTACTCCGGCTCCTCCGTGATCCGTGAGCCGGCTTTTCCCTCCGTGAAAAGCAGCCTCATTATACGAACAGTGCTCGGGGAGAAAGACGGGGAGGGAGGGAGGGAGAGAGATTCACGAAAAGTATATTTGTTATGCCGATAACCGATAGTCGAATGCCAAACGAGATCCGATCAATTGCGCCGGGATCTATCCTCTTCTCCCTCTCTCTCTCTCTCTCTCTCTCTCTCTCTCTCCCCCCCCTCCTCCACGCGACAAATTATATCTCGATCACGATACGCGGGGCGAGCGAACGGATGCTCGCAGCGACAATAAGGACGAGCAGAACGATAACAGTCTATCCGTACAGCGTATCTGGCGACGACGATGATGCACCGAGTAATTGGCCCTGCTCGAAGCATTGACGATGGCACGAGCGATTAGCCGTTGCGTGAAGTGCGGTGGGCGCGTCCGCGAGGAGGGGCAACGGCAGCAGCAGCAGCAGCAGCACCGACACAATGCACAAGAAATTGTATTTGTTCATCGGCCTGATCGCGCTGTCGATCGTGATGTTCTGCCTCTACCTCTCGCGCTTCTACGACGCGGAGATTCCGAACACGTACAGCAAGACGTTCATGATCCACAAAAATGACCCCGCTGCGAACGTAAGCAAGCCGGAGTTCGCCGACGAGAAATACATGCGGGCGTGGGAGCTGAGCAGAGCCGGCATCAAGACGATCCTCCTGTGGAACACGCTGTTCGGCAACCGGAACTTCTACTTCGGCGAGGGCGATGTTTTCCGCGGCTGTCCCGTCGACCGATGCGAGGTCTTCAACGATCACGCCCATCTGAACGTGGAGGACTACGACGCGGTCCTCTTCCACGGTAACGAGCTGTATGTGCGGGATGTGCCGCAGAAGCGACGGACGCGGCAGCTTTATGTGTACGTGAATTTGGAGAGCCCGGCCAACCGGAAGATACCCGACAAGTACTACGAGAACTATTTCAACCTCACGATGACGTATCGGCTCGACAGCGACATACTGTGGTCTTACGGGACCATAGAAGATGTAGCAACCGGCGACTTGGTTGCGCCCTTCGTGGACCCCGACTGGGCCGCTTATCAGAACGGTACGAGTATCCTTGGGCTTGTTCCGAAATTGCTTTCGGAGACTCTCTGCTTTTGGTTAACTCCTTTCACTGCTGAATTAATTTCCCTTGAGAAAATTATTAAAATACCTGGTAGTCCTACGTTTTTTGGGTCGCTAATTACGAATCTAAAGTCAGATTTCGTGAAATTCAAAATGGCGGACTCCGTATGGCGATCATGATGTAAAAAATTAATGAAAATTCCAATTGTTATTAAATAATGACCAGGTTGTAATAAGAACATATGATTCTAGACGATGGAACTCGATCGAGCTGGAAAACATTTATGTGGGAAAATGTTCAATACTGCATATTTATGCTTACTAGAGATTAAACATTCATTTTTGAGTAAAATAATATTGATAGTACGGATGGATAAGACGGAGATACAGAATGAAAAAAACTAGGGAAATAGAGCTGAAAAGTGCAAAAAAATAAAATTTCGGCCGTTTTGGTAGAAATATTTGTTTATAGAAAAAAATCTAACCTGCAAAAAAATACTGAAAAATATATATGTTTTTGTACTACATCAGAGAAATATTTGGTGAAAATTTCAGACCTCTACATTCAGTACTCTCCGAGGAATCGATTTTTCCCTAAAAAAAGCATTTTTTTCAACTTTGATTTGTTAATTTGAAACAATCACAAATGAATAATTGGATATAAAAACTTGTTGGAGTATGCTGAACAACTATTCAGCGATCTGGAAAACTCAAATTCCCCGATTAGTTCCTCAAAATTATATGATTTACAACGCAAAATTGAATCAAGAAAAGGTGGGAAGTACACTCTTCCCGCTAACAGCGAAAGGGTTAAGAGGTCGGTAGAGACCTTCGACTAACTTAATACGTCCCGCAATCGATCGGCTGATTTTTGTCAAGATAATGAGCGATAAAAAATCTATCTAATAAAACCAAGTTGGCACACGACTGTGAACGTCCAAGCGTGATCAATTACGAAACGTGTATCTGGGTTAGTTCAAGGCGTATCAACCTTTCAACTGAAAGCAAAGTTTCCGAAACCGATTTTCGAGCAGATCTCTTCAGTCCCGCGAGATCAGTAGATGAAAAGTATAAATCCCCTCGTCGTATTGAGCGCGCTAATGCCACTCGGCGGTGTCACCGACATTTGAGTACGATGAACATTCCCCCAACTGTCGAGCGTGAAAACGAGAACACCCGCGCTTCCGGTTCGTGCGTCCTCTTCGTCGTAGTCAGCCGGTCAACTGGCACGAACAATTGGCGAACAACGATGAATCGGGCCGAAATTTCTTGCGCATGGCAGCCGCGAATGCTTGCCGACGAAGAGTCCGCGGTGCGAGCCCGGGTCGCGCGCTTCGACCGCGTGTCCGAAGCGCGCGAGGACTAATCAGCTTTCGCGAGTGCAGAGGAAGCGGCGGACGAGGAGGCCGGGATATTGGACGTCGTGAAGGGTAAGAGCAAGCCGGTAACTTGGTTTGTAAGCAATTGCCAGGCCAAAAGTGGCCGGCTGGAGTACGTGAAGGAGCTGTCGAAGCACATAGGCGTCGATGTGTACGGCGAGTGCGGCGAGCGCAGCTGCCTCAAGACCAGGGACTGCTTCCGCGACGTGGTCGAGCCCAACTACTTTTTCTACCTATCTTTCGAGAATTCCTTCTGCGACGATTACGTGACCGAGAAGCTGATGAACCCGCTCAGGTAATAACACGCCTCGGACAACGGCAGATCGTTATCCGCGACTATCGCGCGCGCGCGCTTCAGCTCGTCTTTGCGTTCACGAGAGAAAAGGGAGGAAGGGAGGGAGGGAGGGAGAAGACAATTTAACAATCCGCTATCCGGCGAAACCGGGTGTTTTCCCCTGATGGTCGTGCGCGATTCACCGCAACTTCTCACTCGTCGCCCGGCGCTCGGCTTCGCGGAATAGACGGCGCTATTCGGTGGCGCTGAATCGGGGAGATTCGCCAAGTCGCCAATGCGAAGCGGGAGAGAAGGAACGCCGGCTAAGCGTATTATCGGTTTGTTTCCTTTACCTCGGTGATTTCGCCGCGAATAAAACGTCTTCTCCTCCGAGTTCCTTCTCGCGGGGCTAAAATCGCGCGCGCGCGTCACCTCCCGGCGAAGTCGTCGTTGCTTTTGAGTGACGGCCGCTTGAATAATACGCGAAGCGATACGTTTAAGGATTGACCTTTCCGGCGTCGCTGCATAATCCATGGCGCGATCTATTCTCGACTCATGCGTGGATTCTCGCGTCATGCGGCATTGATGCGGCTCAATAATAGACGCGACGTGCACAAAGTTGACACCGGGCCGGCCGCGCCGGCCCGATGGAAACATCGCCGGAGTCTCGATGGCCGACGACGATACCGGTCGAGTTCGTCGCCGTTCGCGGATTGTGGGATCGCAAGGACGAAGTCGCACTCCTCCTTTCCCCGTTTTCACTCGCGTCGCTCTCGTTCGAGCGACCGACTTGCCGGTCTCGCGCTAATATCCGTTTCGTATTATTCCAAGTTAGAAGTGAGTCAATTTTACAGCCAGCCACGGCGCATCAAACGCCGTTGCGACGCGCGATCGATCGTTATCGCACCGAGCGATAAACGCAATCTAATGTTTACAAATGCATCATACTGTGCAAACGGTGTTTATTTTTTTTCATAGATACATACGACTAGATATATCGAACAGACATCCGCGTTCACTTTCGCTATCTTGTCGCTATATTCGCTCGCCGTGCAGAGATCGCGGGCGGTTATTGCGCGCCTCTTCAGCCGGCCTTTTGACGCGATGGAATAATTAACGAAGCGCTCGCGAGTCTGTATTTTTGCTGCTCGCCGTGGCGTAGCAATCGCTTAATTCTCACGACATGACGCATGCTGAAGAGTCGTCGAATCGCTAGTTTCGCTTGAGAGCTTGACGCTCGATGCGTCGCTCACCGTCGTGACGGTCGGAGCGGTTAAGAGCGCGAGGAGGTGCGATAATGCCAGCCAATAATAGGGCCTCTCTCTCTTGCCGATGTGTTCCCGCAGGTACAATGTCGTACCGGTGGTTTACGGGGGTGCCAACTACAGTCGGTTCGCACCGCCGAATTCCTACGTGAATGCCTTGGACTTCGAGAGTCCGAAGGAGCTCGCCGCGTACTTGAAATATCTCTCTCAGGATCTGCGGCGGTATCAGAGCTTCCTGCAGTGGAAGAAATATTATCGAGTCGGCCAGGGGACGACGAAACGGACGGTCTGCGCGCTCTGCGACGAGCTGCACCAGCGGAAGAGCCCGAAAACTTACCCGGCCTTGTCGCACTGGTACGCGAAGGACAAGTGTCCGATACAGAAGCTGCTGCAAAACACCAACGACGTTTACGCGACGAAATTAACGCTTACGAGTCGCGTCGGCTAGGGCCGAAGGCAGCGGTCCGGAGCGGTGCAGAGCGGCTTCAACGACGCGTTCGAATGACAGGCTACGCGAAGCACCGATTAAGCGCAGATGACCGCAGGCTCATATAAGCCGTCGCGTGGCCGCACGTGCCGCACTCCAAGTGCACGGAATACGCGTGCGAGCAGCGGCATTGCGAGAGAGTCACTTTCGACGCTGTTACTTCCGCTGCTCGCCTCGCTGCATGTCTTTCCGCTCGCGATCAGTATTGTAACGTACGTATGAATAATTCCTCCCTCGGTCTCACATCGCGCACACGCGCGTTTTCGCGAGGACTCTCTCCTTCGTGTAGCCGTTCGTGAGCGCGTCGATGGCTGGCAAAACTACGACTGAAAACGGACGGAGAAAGAAAAAAATACGCGTCTCTGAATAAGAATATTTCACGCGCGTGTGCGTGAAAGGTGCGCGCAAGCGGCCGGTCATTTCACCCAACAATGCGCGGGCATTCCTGAGACTATAATAGCGTGAGTGATTACACAACTTCGACGTCTGATTTATGCATCGATGATGGGTCATTAGAGCAGAGTTGCTAGCGGGTCGATGTATTGACTACTCGCTTGATTAGTTAAGATCAAAGTAGCCAACCTACCATCACACCGCGCTCCGACATCACTCTGTACTTCCGTTCCAAGAGTTTGAGCGGCAGGCGGGTGCACGTGATGCACTAATCACACGATGTCCACAAAGGACGCTGGCTTTCAAAGATCCATGCATTAAATACCGCGGGATTGCGTAGGTGTTTAACGCAGACTCGGCAAGAGCGCGCGCGCGCCGTATTCGCGTAAAAGACTGACGTGGGCGTTATCGAGGGAAAAGATTCGAGCCAACGAACGAGAGAAATCGCCCGTTCTCGTTAATTACTGTTTCAATGTTTCGCTTCTACCTAGAATATAACGATGATATCTGCAGGTAATAATTGTACAGTACAATTGCGTTCGCGTCTAGATGGGCGGTTGACGAGGAGCGAGAGGAGGGAAACGATTAAGTGAGAAGCATGTATACGTATATATATATATATATATGTATCGTAACACAAACTAGGATGTAATATTTATCACCTCGTCGTCGCTCGCGACCGTTGAAAATGCCTGTCATCAGTGTATCTTCGCAGTATTTTCTTTTTTTATACATAGCATATTTCGAATCGTCTACCTCACAAGCCGGCAGCGCAATATTACGGAACCGTACAGAAGGCAGTTTTCATCGGAGCGATTTTTGGCGGAAGAATAGGCCGTACACACAAGCGTAAGTTAAGAAATTTTATAAGTTTTGTACAAATCAGCCGCGAATGAGAGTCGCTAATTTATTTTGTATGTGCAAAACGTTACTTTGTAAACAGTATTCAGAGAGAGAGAGAGAGAGAGAGAGAGAGAGAAAGAGAGATAGGACTGAAGAGATTAATTTTAAGACCAGGTAGAACTCTCTCTCTCTCTCTCTCTCTTTTTCTTTCTCCTCTCTCTCTCTCTCTATCTACAAACATAGGCGTCGCGAATCGGACTATGCAGTTTGCGATGCAAATAATGCAATTGCACATGCATGCACAAATAGCATGGAAAGTCATATTTTATCCGCGATAACCGTAGCTAATTTCTGCCTCTGCGCGATACTTAAGTTAATGAGCAGCGAAGCAAAATCTCTGTTCGATCTTTACTAATTCGCAGATAAAAATGTGTATCGCATTTTTATAAACCGGTTCTCGCATAAACGTTGCATTTTTGCAGATGACCGAGATATCGCTCTTGTGTTTTATTAATTCATAGCGTTTCTTATGCGAAGTAAATTGTGCATATTGATTGTTGTAATAAAATTATTTTAACGTGCGAATAAATAAGTAATATATAATGTATAATAGTTAGAAATGTAAAGTATATAATAATTGGGAGTGTAAAAATCAGGTATCGTACATTATAAAATCGCGCTGCGGATTAACATAAAGTATTATAGATTAAGACTGAAACGACGTTACCGAATGCAATTCTCTCACCCTCGAGAACGGGAGAATAATATAAAATATTTAATAGAGCGGAAGTCATAAAAATGCATAATGTCACGAATAACAATATCCTCTTCTACACATCCCCAAGATTTGCGCGGCATCGCGACTGCGTTTAATCTTGCGAGAAGCATCGCCGCGTTTTCGGACGGAAAGTTCCGTTCGACGCGCCGATCGATATCGCTATTTGGAATTCATTCAAGCCTCAACTGCAACGATCGCGCTCGACCGGCGATAATCCTCATGAGTGGTCCTGATGTTACATTATCGCATTGACTCGTGAATTGTTTATAACAAAAGCGGCATGAAAAGTACATGAGCCTATAACAAATACCGGATGTTGGAATCGCGCGCGTAACAAACGTGTAACCGCCGAGTCTCTCTCTCTCTCTCTCTCTCTCTCTCTCCATCAAAGATAACTCTCGTTTGCAGACTATGTATCTTCGGACCTGCTGACTTGGGAAAGAGATTTTCGCGAGCGCACTGCTTCACTTATTGATCCGCGGCCATAAATGTCCTGATTGTTTACTTGGCACTGTATGAAAGATGGTACGCTTGCGCTCTCGAGAGGGAGGAACTTTGGCCGAGAAATAACGAGATTAAACAAGCTGGCTCCTCCGCGTTGCACGAGTTTCTTCACTCGTCTAATGAAGAAAGCTTCTATTTCCGTTACTTTCTGTCTCGACACGTATGGCGCGCCCGATTGAATTTCGATTTATTATATTCGACCACTCTCGCACACACACACACACACTCGCGCACACTCCGCTTATTACATAGATATAGTTCCGGCGTTACACAGAATACGGCCGTAGCTGCGCCGAACCAGGCCGAATGTTGTACGTCAAACCGAAATTTCGACGATTTTCCGTCGACGTTTCACATCAGTCGAAAGCACGGACGAGCGTGCTGTTGCGCGCGGACCTTTAAACGCTAAACGTTAATACGTGCGCCGCACTCGGCTCTCGAATCGCCGAGTTTTCCGAGCTTCTCGTCGAGAGAGCAGAAGGTGAAGTTCTCTCGGCTGAATTTTTCTCGCCTGCTGTATTTTCGCGTCATTTGTCGACTGCACCGCGCGCGACACGTTGCTTCGGCGCGCGGGGGATCGCTTAAATCGCGAGCCTCATCGTCGGCGTGCGAGATGTCGAAAAAGAAGACTTGACGCGCACGTCAAGCGGCAGCTCCGGGATTAAAGAGCTTTGGCGAATTTCAGCAGGGTCGAGTAGAAGGCTCGCGCGAGCCCGTCTCTCGGCCCGATTAGAAATTAGAATGTCGAAGTCGTACGTGGCGATTCGAGACAAATACGATCGATTTGACGACGAGCGAAGGGCGCCGCGCACAGCGGAAGTGCGTTGATGCGCTCCGCCGGAGAGAGGCCGGAAACGCTCTTCATAAAACTCAAGATCGGATAAGGGAACGCCCGCGGCGGGTCATCTCGCATCCGTGTGGCTTCTTAATAGAGGAAACTTCGCTTCCTTTGTGCCGCCGCTTTGCGCGGCTCGGCTCGGCTCGGCTCGGCTTTGCTCGCAGGATACGATAAGATATTCGTATCTTGCCAACGGGACGGTAATCGAATCACGATAAACCGCGACCAAGACGCCGTCTTGCCAACGTAGATATTACCGATGATATTGCCAATGAGCTTGCGCCGAACTTATGGCGGCAATCGGCCAAGCGCGTACAAGGCTGCGTCTCGCCGCTCGTATTGTAAAAGTACTACGTGGCTGCAACTTGCTGGAGCATCGAGCAAGCATTCCGGTAGGTTGTAACAAGCCCCAAGTCCTCCTCAAAGTTCATCGCGATGGCAATTTCTTGTCACGAGTGTCGTAAACTCGTTGGCCATCGCCGTGGATGCACGCGCGTGTCTGTGTGTCTTACTCGGTCTTCCGCTCCTCTTCTCCCTTCGCTTTGTCTCCACGGCCCGCGTATTTATACGGCGTTTCCTCGGCGGGATACGTTAACGATCGAATTGCGAGTCGGCCATTGGAATCGAACCGATGGCCGAACTTCGGTCTGTCCGGAGGAAAGAGTCGGAGCGGGCCGACGACCCGCATATTTACTCATGAGCCGTGTATGTTTATTCATGACGATGGAACCGCGATACCCGCGGTGTAAGGGGTGACATTTTTCGGCGGTTATGCCATCGAACTGGCCGGAGTTGCGCGCCGTTTTACAGTTGATTTATGGCTGGGGACGACGCTGTCGTGCAAATATCTGCTCGGAATTATGCGGCTGCGAACACTCGGAAGATGTTCGTTTCCCGCGGCGAGAGAGAGAGAGAGAGAGAGAGAGATTATCCGAGCAACGTTGTTATTTAACATCGTACGTTGCGTTTGGTAATTCAATTTATATTCATCCGCGATTCTTCCAACGCACCAACGATCGGCTGGGAATGCGAAGAGGCCGGACCGCGCGGCTGAAAAGCGCGTAATCCGAAACTTTGTAATTTTTGCCTCGTAATTTCGGATCTCTCGAGAGTGTGCGCGCGCGCGTCGTAAATATATTTTCACGGGGATAGTTGCTGCACATATTTTAAGCGCGATCGTTAATTTCGCCCGCACTCTCTAATATATTACGAGATAAAACGTTAGCAATTAAGTAAACGCTACGACGATACGACCGTAATAATTTTGCGTTGCATTGATTTTATGCGTCTCTCATTGTGCCCCATTTATGATAACGTAATAATAACCAAACTCTCTCTCTCTCTCTCTCCCTCTCTCTCTCTCTCTCTCTCTCTCTCTCTCTCTCTCTCACTCTTTTTCTGTCTTTCTCTCTTGCAGCTTTACGATCGTCAAAACCGGTTTCAATTTATCCAGTTATGGTTTGCTTTTACGAACGCGAAGGTATTACGAGCTCGTGCTGCTAATTCTTTACGTTGTTTTTCACCACAACGCGATCCATCGCGCATCGAATCGTCAAATAAATGGAAAGAAACATTCTTTTTTTTTAACTTGATTTTCTACGTAAAAGTCGCAGGCCCTTTGACGGCGCACAGGTCGACTCCTCTAGCGCGAAGTCGCGGAAAGTGGAAACGCTCTCAAACGCTTTCTAGCCGGAAAACGTTCATTTTTCACGAGAGTTCGCACTAAAGGACGAAACTCGCGATCGACAGCCTCGTTGTGAGTTAACCGCGCGCAGTTCGGACACCCCGGTCGGTCGCGACGATAAAGGTACTCGCGGACAAATCATTTTCGTGGCAGCGGGAAACTTTGTTTCCGATCCCCCGATGGGCGACGAAGAAATTCTGTCGCGCAATCCCGCGCGCGCGCGCGCGCGCGCGAAGTGTTAAGGCTGCGAGCGATAAATACGAGGGTCGAAAGTGGGAAAGCAACGGTTCGAATCGAGCCGGATGGATATAAAAAGAAATTACTAGCCTCTCAGACGCACTTGGACCTTCGAACGGTATACCTCGTGCTCGTTCCTTTCTTTCCCTTTCTCTCTCTCTCTCTCTCTCTCTCTCCTTCCTTCTTCCTTTGTCTGTCTCCCTTCTCCTTTTCGATCCTTCCGTCTCCGTCTCCGTCTCGTTCTCCTTCTTGCGCGATATCCTCTCGCCATTTCTCCGCGCCCATTCTCTCTTTTATTCCGGGTTTATCTTCTCCACCCCCTCCCACCTTTTCCCCCAAGACCGCGCCCGGCTATTTCCCGATTCCGCTGCTCCACACTTGTAACTTGAATTATAGATGTCCCTCACAGTCTGCCGCAACTCACGGCCGTACCTCCGTCCCTCCCGGCGCGGGACTCAAGACAGCATACTGGCGACATTATTTGCATACATGAGCGCGACCGGAGGTAGAAATTAAATTTTTCCCCGCGATCCCCCCGCGCCTTTCACGCGGCGCGAAGCGCACCGAGCGGGGACCGAGTGTCCCCATTTCGCGCGTAACTCGCGCGTCGTCGGATATCTCGTCGTAGCGATAGCAACGAAGTCAATCGGGGCTAACATCGCGACAACTGGAATTGGAACTTGCGACTTGAGAACGCGCTTGAAAGCTGAAGCTACTTACGTAATGAGGGACGAACATCACGGGCTTATTAAGAAGGGACGCCGTTGACTCTCGACCGGTCGCCGAGTCGCTCGACAAACATTTCCTCTCCGTCGTGCGATTACACTCCGACGTGCACGTGTCAGCTGCGCGTGAATGCAGCGGCGAAATCGAAGGGATGGCCGGCGCGGAAGGGAGTATAGGACGCGGTATAGGACGCGCCTCTCATCTGTTGCAAATGTAAATGCGGCACAAGTTGCGTCGCGCTTGAGATTCGCTTCGATTTCGGCGAGCTTTCTCGCAATGAGAGGGATCCTTCCACCTCACTCGCTCGCTCGCACGAAGACGCAGGCGCGTGCGAGATAAAATTCAACGACTGGAAGTCGGCCGCCGGAATCGATTAAGGCCCGGTCTACAATACGTATCGTAAGCTGTAAGCCGTAAGAATTGGCGAATCACAGTCGATTATCACAAAAATAATCGGTCTATAATTGCTCAGTTCTTACGGCTTACGACTTACGACACGTATTGTAGAATGAATTTCAGATGAACCGAGCGGCAGAACGAATGCGCTCTCTCTCTCTCTCTCTCTCTCTCTCGTTGCGATTAATTAATATTATTAAGCTCGAGCGGATTGCCACGCCATGCCGCGCCACGCATTGTCGTCTCGCGAATAATCGCGCTTAGCGATAATGATATCAATGCGCGATGTCGCTTCCTCCTCCCCCTTCCCCACGTCTCTAGCGCGTGCGTGCGCGCAAATTTATTTCTCAGGGTGTAAATTGATTTGTTGTATCCCGTATTGCGCCGGCGCTGCCATAATTACCCGTGC